CGCAATTCTTACAAAAATAGCAACCGTTCGGGCAATCGATCATCTCATCAATCTTCAAATTTTCATTGCTGCAACACTCGCAGTCCCTATAACAATCAACGTAGATTCGAGATCAATTATTGTTATCCTGTCATCAATATTAAATAATGTACTTACACTGAGGTTACTTTAAATGGATCCGGCTCCTTGATCCTAGCAAATAAACATATTTAGTTTCGAGATTATGTGCACTGTTGATTTACTTACTCAGTTTCATATGTTTCATTCACGAAACTATTTAAGTCCTCCTTAGATTTAATATTGCTCGCTAAATGACTTGCGAGTTTATCATCATTAATCGACAGTACTTCCTTTATTTTTGCTACGTAATTCTTCTGTACTTCTGGATTTTTCGGGTAGCCTGAAAAAAAAAGAAGAAACGATTAAATTATCGAACACATTCAACCGAGTATTTGTTACCATTCATCAATATTTCTGAAATTTCTTCAATGGTTGATTTACTATTGTCGTAGCACAGCTTGAGCAGATACGATTCTTCTACATCGGAAAATATTTCCAATATCTTATTTCTAATTATTAATATTTCAGTACATTCTTCATCATCCATGACGACTTCTTTTGGTATATTGATTTCTAACCAACGTGCTCCATCCTCTTCTTCATCATCAAATTCTGCATTTATTATTTTGCAAGCCTCCAGTAAAAGAGATACTCTCTCATCATTGCCATCATTATCTACCAATTGCAGTTCTGTAGATTTATCAAGATATGCATTATCACTTTGAGAGTCATCGGTTATATTATGTACATCTGGTTCTACTTCTGGTATATCTGTTTCTTCTTGTGTTATATCTGGTTCTTTTTCAGGTATATCTGGTTCTTTTTCAGGTATATCTGGTTCTTCTTCTGGTATATTTAGTTCTTCTGGTATATTTAGTTCTTCTGGTATATCTGGTTCTTCTATATTGTTTTCTAAACAGCTTGCTCCTTTATCATCAATCTTCTCGCAATTTGGTCCATTTGTATATTCGCACTCTTGTAAAATAGTTCCACTCTCAGCTTTAGCGTTGTCATTTTCCATTTCCGGAATGATATCGTTATCAAAAGATACATTTACAAGTAATTCAATATCAACTTCTGGTTTTTTATTTTCATTGTTTTCCAGAGAACCCACATTAACCCCTTCCTCAGCGCAATCTTCCTTATTCATACCTTCGACGTCTTGTAAATTTTGCGTTTCTGTATTGATAGCGTCATCAAAAGTTTCGTTATCTTCTTGAAGGTCAGCTTTTACATCGGAAAAATCCGATCTATCTGCAATGCCTTCTTCTGGTATATTGTTCTTACTGTTTTCTAAGGAACCTACTTCTTCCACTTCCTCAACGCAATCTTCCCTATTTATGATTTCGATGTCTTGCAAAAAAGAAACATTCTCAACATTAACATCGATCTCTATCATTTGTTCAGTTGTTTCTTGGCTCATTAAAGATCCATTTTCAGGATTGATGTTATTTCCTTGATTTTGATTGTCAGTTAAAACTTTGTTAATCCTATCGAGAAGAAAAAAGGAACAATTAATAAATTTAGTATAAGCATCATCAACATTTCATCACCAAGTACTTTAGTAGTGAGAATGACTTTCGCGTCATTGCATTTTTTTATTTATAGTTATAAACCAAGTAGACAATAAAAATTAAAAGGTATCAAGTTTCAGATTAATTTTCCTTCATTGTACTTACAAAAATAGCTAAAATGAAAAAAAAAACTTAAATTTTAATTTCGCCACTGATAGAATGCAAGTGGTTTAATATAAAATATACTTAAATTATATTAATTATAATAATAGTTTTAACATAATACTGATATAATATTTGTGTGCAATTATGTAAAAATAATGATGACATCGGAAATACGGAAGTTCGTTGGAAAGTCGAAAGTTTCATTGAAATCTTCAGTCCCTTTTGGAAATTGATAAACATATATCAACAAAATGGATTAAATTAAAAAAGCATATACAAACTTTAATATAAAAACAAAATAATTTAAAAAAATGAATCTCGTTGAATTTAGATAGTGCATTAGATTGTGCATTACAAAATCGACTAAAGTGTACATCTTAATAGCACTTGAAACCTTGTTAACGTTTTTAACGTCTAAGTTTTTATATTTATTATGGCAAAAACATATCACCGTTAAATTTTGATTACTGCAAAAGTTTTTAGTTTCAAACTTACCACATTACTCTCAGATATTGTTGAAGTTACAGGCGATAATAGAGTTGATTAGTAGTTTTAATTAGATCGTGCGACGTATTAATATTACAACAATTTAAAAAGTATGGTTAGATAATGAATCGAAGCGTGCATATTTATAGATGAACTTCACTTAAACAGGGGAAACCCCATTCAGGGAATCGGTAATACGTATAGATTACAAATATGTTTACTTAAAGTGAACAAAGCACGCAAATTATTAAAGAAAAATAGTACAAAATCAGATTTTGTTAGAACAAATTGTTATCAAAATGGAAAAAACAAAGGACATTTGCATTGTATAAAATATGAATAAATGCATTTGGTAAGTACACATATTAATTCAATATTAGTAATTTGAAAATAAAATTGCTTGATACTTACATGATGGATAAATTATTACGCAATAATTAACAAACGTGATGAAACTAGATCTTTTTTTTGTCTTCCAAGCTTTAGCACGAACCGAACTCAAGCAGCTTCCAACGAATACTGCTGTTGTTGCTATCTGTTCCACATCCTCCGCGAACCGCAAATATTGGGTAGTGGAAAACGATACTCACAGCATTTTTCTTTTGTGATTTTTATTATGTTTGCATTACGTTTTGAAAGTATCTATTTATGTGTTATTTTGTATTCGCATATTTTTTAAATGCAAGGAAGATTTAAATAGATGGCACAAATTGTACAAACATGGACTCATAATTATATTAATTAATCACGCTCTTTGGATTATCATAATATTTATCAACTAATGCGAAGCGCAAATGCATTCATAGATATTCTATTAATATTTGTATTTCGCAACAAGTATAATGCAACTTAAACAAAATAATATAAAACTAAATTGAGTTTCTGCCAAATGCTACTGATGTATTGCGCAAATATTTGTATTTAATGTTTTGTTATAAGCTTATTGGAAAATAATTTGCAAACATATATCTAACTAATATTTGTTGTTGACTTATTTCGTGTGAATGGCATGAGTCATTCATACTAAAATACTTTTTATTGCAGTGAACTTGCAATCAGCGGATGAACGGGCCCAAAAGATATAAATATAATGTGATTTCTTCTGTTGTTTCATTTTTTCTCTCTCTATTCTATGTATAAAAAAACCTGTTTGTGTCACGTTCTGTGAGTGCTTGGCTTTGATAAACTGCACTTTTCAGCGTTTTTGCTGCAGAATCCACGTGAGTGGCCAATAAGTAGAGTTTATTATCAATAATTTTTGTGTGGTTGCATTTCGACTTTTCCACCAGGCAACCATATAAACTGCTCTAAAATAAAGAAAAAATAGACAAAAATAAGTGATCAATAAATGAATAACGCGAAATTCCGGTATTTTTTGTTAAATTAATTAAAATTTTTAGTTAAATTAACAATTTATTTTAAGGTTAACTTCAATAATTTGACAACAATGGAAACGTAACAAGAAAAATATGAATTGTCAATTTTACGACATTTGTTACTTTGGCAAAATTGCATTGACGTTACATTGAATTTGGTTATAATTGTTTTGCCGACATAAACGTCAATTTGATGTAGAAAATACGTCAAATTGACATCAATTTCGTGAAAATTTGAAGTGAAATTTAGAAATTGTGAATTAATCGAAATGTTTTGTCGTGTCTGAGGGATGGAATTCTGGACACAGTGGAATATTGTCTGGTATTGTCGTTTTGGGGTCTCAATAGTTGGGAATTTA